CAAACTCAACACTAACTTTTTTTTAAAGAAAGGTACTAAGTATCTTTAATCAGCTATTGGTCAAGATTAACTTTCTTTTAAAGGTTCATTTGTATGATAAATTCATATGTATATATAATTTTTTTTTGTTTTGCCTAGTGAGTTTCAACATTTTTAAAGTTTTCAAAAAGCCATCAGAATGTTAAATTAATGTAAAGGGAACAGCTTATCTAGACCAAAGAATGGTATGTTCACTTTTCTTTGTAACATTGAATGGTTTGAAGTACTCAAAATCTGTTATGCTAAACTTTGGATTCTTTAACACAATTATTTATTTTTAAACACTGGCATTTTCCAAAACTTGTGGCAGCTAACTTTTTAAAATCTCAAGTGACATGCAATGTGAGTAGAAGGAAGTCAACAAAATGTAGGCGAGCACTCGGTTGTCTTTACTTTTAAAAGTAATACTTGGTGCTAAGAATTTCAAGGATTATTGTATTTATTGTTCAAATGAAGATGGCTTTTGTACTTCTTGTGGTCATGTAGTAATGTCTATATTGGATCATAGAACTAACCTGAAAAACAAATAAATGCTTTGGAAATGTTTCAGTTGCTTTAGAAACAATAGTGCCTGCCTGGATCCCCTTGGTTTTGAAATATTTGCCATTGTTGTTTAAATACCTATCACTGTGGTAGAGCTTGCATTGATCTTTTCCACAAGTATTAAACTGCCAAAATGTGAATATGCAAAGCCTTTCTGAATCTATAATAGTGGTACTTCTAGTGGGGAGAGTGTAATATTTTGGACTGCTGTTTTCCATTAATGAGGAGAGCAACAGGCCCCTGATAACAATTCCAAAGTAATAAGATGTTAATTATAACTCAGCCAGAAAGTACATGTCTCCCGTTGGGAGGATTTGGTGTTCAATACCAAACTGCTAGCCTAGTATTATGGAGATGAACATGATGTAATAGCAGAGTAGTTAATGAATGAAACTAGTTCTTATAATTTATCTTTATTTAAAAGCTTAGCTTGCCTTAAAACTAGAGATCAACTTTCTCAGCTGCAAAAGCTTCTAGTAAGTTCATACTTCATGAAATTGCACAGTAACCATTTATTTTTCAGACCATTTTTGAACATTATTCCTAAATTAATAAGTATTCCTATGTTGCTTTAGTATTTATTACAATAAAAAGGCTTTGAAATATAGCTGTTCTTTATGCATAAAATACCCGGCTAAGACCATTACTGCCAGAGGAAAAAAAATCGTATTGAATGGCCATTTCCCTACCTAAAAGATGTCTCAATCTGAATTTATTTGGCTACACTAAAGAATGCAGTATATTTAGTTTTCCATTTGCATGGTGTGTTTGTGCTATAGATGATATTTTAAATTGAAAAGTTTGTTTTAAATTATTTTTACAGTGAAGACTGTTTTCAGCTCTTTTTATATTGTACATAGTCTTTTATGTAATCTACTGGCATATGTTTTGTAGACTGTTTAATGACTGGATATCTTCCTTCAACTTTTGAAATACAAAACCAGTGTTTTTTACTTGTACACTGTTTTAAAGTCTATTAAAATTGTCATTTGAATTTTTTCTGTTATATTGTTTAAGGTATATAATTTTTAAATCTTTTAGAATTTGTACAGCTTCAAATGCTACAGTATTAGATGCTTTATTTCTCATACAATGTTTTATCATTCAGTTTACTACATTAGTCTCACCAGACCAGTACTTGGAAACACTGATGGTGCTGAACCTAGATGATGCATCACCATCAAGCATTTCAAAACCATTTCAGCCAGTATAGGCTAGAGGCTTTAGCAAGTAAAACATGGGGAAAAGGCAGAGCAGGGCTTTAAGAAGGACGTGATAACGTCCTATGACAAAGGACCAGGAGTTTGGGATTCGAGAGAGAATAAGAATTGGTGGATAGTGAATTCAAGAATTCCATGTAATGCAAAGCCCGGGTTAACTGAAATATGTTCTTGTATGCTAGGTTTTTCAAGTCCGAAAACTGCAGACCACATTTGGTATCAACTTTGAGGCTGACCTGAGAACCTACTTAAGCCATTAAAGGTTTTGAGGGAGAAAGTGCTCATGAAGAGGCCAGCAACATGCCCCTTAAAATGTATGTGTAACGAGGTATGTGTAATGAAGCTGGGCGTGATGGTTCACCTGAGGTCAGGAGTTCGAGACCAGCCTGGCCAACATGGTGAAACCCCACCTCTACCAAAATACAAAAATTAGCTGGGTATGTTGGCAGGCGCCTGTAGTCCCAGCTACTTGGGAGGCTGAGGCTAGAGAATCGCTTGAACCCAGAAGGGAAGGTTGTGGTCAGCCAAGATTGTACCACTGCACTCCAGCCTGGTGATAGAGCAAGACTCAGTCTCAAAAAACAAAAGTATTTGTAATGAATAAAGCTTTAGCAATTTCCTGTTCACAGTTCTGCCTCCCTCCTCAGCAGACTTTCTATATATACCCTGTCCTGTATATTGTTAGCACTAGAGAAATAACCTGTAAAATCCCATCCTCAAAATACTACAAAATTAAGGAACATCATTCTATATACGCACAAATTGAAGTCAGGCAGTTGATAACTTTTAAAACGTATATAGTCAAGTGGTCAAACGATAACTTGGCAAGACTTAATTTAACTCAAGCCCTGTACATAATACGACTGCTGAACCACTTTAGCTAATGCAGCATATATACTATATTTCATTGATTGTAATACCCTAGTTAATGTCACATGATGGTTTAGTTGCCATTTTTTTTTATAGTGGTACATAAAATGACTGGACCTTCAATGGTTTTACGTAATCTCCAACTAAGCTTTATTTGAAACACATCTCAACTCCTGATCAATAATTTAGAAAGAGGTGGCGGGGGAGTATGTATGTGTATGTATGACAAAACCTCTCCCCCCAAAGATCTAAAGCCATTCTGTGCCTTCAGTTCAAACTAGGATACTAAAAGAAGTACAGAAATGGGGTCTAATGACCTCCGCACCTTTTGGAGTGACTCTCAAATGGGACTATTAAAAACCACTTGAAAACTTTTTAAAAGTCTGTATAGCCCGAGATGTCTTAGAAATACAGATTTCATGGTATAAGGTGGGGGCTTGTGCAGAGTAATTTAAAACACCCCCAGGCGATTCAGAAGTATAGCCAGATTTGAGAAACGCCCTTAGCTGGAAAAGAAGAGGGAAGCTCCATTTAGACGTTTAACATGGCCCGAAAGGGAGGTTAACTTATATTAGCACCCTCCATTTCCAAGTTTTCCCCAGAAATACTTCATCAGTTAGTTAACTTGGGGTTCATAAGCCAACACAGAAGAGTAGGGAGCTACCAAAATAGAGTGAAGTCTTGAGCAAAGGAGGACAAAACTACTATAAGGCATTTTGGATGGTCAAAGTACAAAAGAGGTTGGGAAGTGGAGGGAGACTGATGACGGGAATATTTTGCTCTTTTTAGCAAGTTTACCATACACGCTTCAGGGGAAGACTGCTCTATGCCATATTATGCTTTGATTCACAACTTTACTAAATGTAGTAAAAAGCTGTAAGGAGGAACAACCTGCTAGTAAAAACTGACCCCAATGAATGGTCCTTAGGAATAGATCCTTTGCGAAGGCTAACCTTGGGACTCTAATTAGGTCTCTCAGTTTTTACAACTACATTCTGGTTTTATTATTGTATTATTTTTTGAGACAGTCTTGCTCTGTAGCCCAGGCTGGAGTGCAGTAGCACCTCAGCTCACTGCAACCTCCGCCTCCCAGGTTCAAGTGACTCTCCAGAGTAGCTGGGATTACAGGCATCTGCCACCACATCTGGCTAATTTTTTGTATGTTTAGTAGATGTGGGGGTTTTACCATGTTGGCCAGGCTGGTCTCGAACTCCTAGACTCAAGCCATCTGCCCACCTCAGCCTTCCAAAGTGCTGGGATTACAGGTGTGAACCACCACACTCAGCGAGCATTCTGGTTTCATTTCCTTTTAATTGAAAGGAGTATCTTGCTTCTACTGCCTTAATAATGCTGAATGATAGCTACTAGCTAAAGACAGGAGAGCTACAAACACACTATATATCTATCTCTTAGATGTGTGGAGGCCAAATGCTTCAGTATTTAGCTAACTCAACCATTACGGTCCCACAATTTAGCAAACTATCTGCATCCAGCCTTGCTGCTCTGATCTACAAAGCTCGAGACTTGTTTCGTAAAAGCAAATGGCAATTTCAGAAATCTTCCATGGTATTTTAACTGTCTACCATGAATCTCCTTGCTGTTAATGCACTGTATCAGTCTGTGGTAACGGAAGAAAGTTCCCAAATTAAGCTCTGTACAGTGTGCTCCCAGATGAGATGCTATGTTCTCGTTAAAATACTTGTTCATGGAACTATTAATCCAAAGTGCCTGCCATTTCACTAATCAGCTTTATAGTACACAAAGGTTACTATTGAAAAAGAGCATCTGACGTGTTTGATTTGAATTACTACCTCAAGGAATGGATGAACAGGGAAAATGGTATACTATCAGGTACATGGAAACATTTCTCATAGGGAGGAATGCTGCTACTATGAGAAGTACCTTAGGTGAAAATATTGTTTTAGTGCTTCTATCTATAGAAAAGTTCTATGGTTTGCCAATAGTTTTTTAAGTTAGTTAGACTACTGAAAAGTACAAGTCCACAATCCCTTACCCAACCCTGGGGCTTATTTGCATTTTGGAATTATTATGCATTTTAAAGATTTTTTAAAAAGCACCCAATAGGGTTCATAGTCTCATTTAGTGTATACCATTAATAGCTTCAACAATTCAGATCAGGTTTTTCTGCATAGTGAGAGGTGAAAATACTCTTTTCAGTTTTTTTAAATTTTAGAATTGCAGGTAAGAGACTGCGGACCTCTATAAATTCATATGGGCATGGAAACAGCAATCCGAAATTTAAGAGACCCTCCCTGAGCCATCCCTCTTTCTGAAAAATTTTGACTCTTACATGAGAACCACTGAAAGTTTAAATATTAAAACAATAAATCTTTATTAAACAGTTTCACGGCATTTTTAAATAAATTTTAAAAATAAATATTTGCATTGTAGCAGAAAGTCACATGTATTGCATCAACTCACTTTTACAATTTAATGGCATGAGATAACTAAGCATCAGCACCATAAAACTGTTAAGATTTGTTTAATAAATTCAAGGAAATAGCTTTAAAGCACTGCAGCATCAATAATTTTGAAAGCTATAACCCAGAGATTGGTGCTCATAGTAGCCAGTTTCTTTTTATTACTGGCAAATGTAGAGACAAGAGTTCTTCCAGTACTAAATAGTTTCAACAATCCCCCATCTCCCAGCATGTCAGGATTCACAAAAGAGAAAAGAACTGCAGGTTATGTAGTATATTCCCTATTTGTGATTTAGGTTTGCACAAAGACACTTTTTCTAGCAAAAAAGAAATGACTGTTTCTACCATGCTACCTTTTTTTTTTTTTCATAGAGTCTCAGAGGAAGATTGAAGTCATAATTTTTAACCTTTAAAAGTCTGCTCAGGTTCAATTACAACCATAGAAACTGTACTGGTATCAGAACATAACTATTTTATTACAAAACTTAGTATTATTTACAAAATGAAAAAATAATCAAATGACTATTGCAGGCCAAAGTTAAAGGTTTTTCACTCAATGATTGAAGAAAAATTAAGCAGTATTTCCATGCACTCACACCAGATCATTTCTGAAATATGCAAACTCTTGAAATTCATGTTAGTAAAACTTTAATGTATTCACAATACCTGTATGTTTATTGGAAGATGGTCAAAAAAAAGCCATGGTTCTGTACAGTAATATTAACAGTTTGTTCATTTTCCTTTAATTTTTTTGGCTTCCATGAACACTCGCAGATTGAACATTTTGCAAGTAAGAATTATAATAGTACTTCTGTCACCTTGCTGAATTCATCACCACAAGAAAAACACAAATAGTTTAATGCTTTTGCACTAAACTGAATAGTTGTAACTCCAAAGTTATATTAAACTGAAGCCTTCATTGTGATCAATAGCTTGGATCAGTTTAGAGCGTAGAGTTTCTTTTTCTGTATATTTTGGAAGATCCAGAAGATTAAAACAAGTATGGGAAACTGGGAGATATTCCTCACCACCTCCTGTTGGCTGGATGACTAGTTTCAGACTCTTCATACCAAGAATAGGAATGCGATCACTACCTGTCAAAAATACTGCCAAGAAAAAAATCAGTCAACCACTTCAAAACCAAAACTTAAAGTAGCAAGTAAAATTTCGTACAGTCACTATAGCAGAGCTTCATATTAACATTTGCTCTAAGGTATTAACTTCCTGAATTTGTGGAAGACAAGTTTTTTGAGACACATACTAATTGCTCATCCACACAATATTTTTTCTTTCAAAGTATAATCTTAATAGTGGCACAAAGGAAGTGCTTAATAAATGTTTGATAAGTGACTATTGCCATTCCTAAAACATTTTGAGAGCCCCCATTTTTGGAGAACTCATTTAGGAACTAGTTGACAAACCAAATACAAAATGCAGTTTTGATTATGATTTATCTATTTGCTTTGTTTCTGTTATTTTTTGAGATGGAATCTCGCTCAGTTGCCCAGGCTGGAGTGCAGTGGTGTGATCTTGGCTCACTGCAAACTCCGCCTCCTGGATTCCAGTGATTCTCCTGCCTCAGCCTCCTGAGTAACTGGTACCTGGCTAATTTTGGTTATTTTTTAGTAGAGATGGGGGTTTTACCATATTGGCTAGGCTGGTCTTGAACTCTTGACCTTGTGATCCACCCGCCTTGGCTTCCCAAAGTGCTGGGATTGTAGGCATACACCACTGTGCCCAGCCATTTCTGTTATTTTTTATCAGAAATTTATAATGGGCAGCCAAAATTCGAATCACTTTTTTTTTTTTTTTTTTTGAGATAAGTCTTGCTCTGTTGCCCAGGCTAGAGTGCAGTGGCACAATCATGGCTCATAGCAGCCTTGACCTCCTGGGCTCAAGCAATCCTCTCACCTCAGCCACTGGAGTAGCTGGGCGCAGAGGCACGTGTCACCAAGCCCAGGGCTAATTTTTGTAGAGATGTGGTTTTGCCATGTTGCCCAGGCTCAAATCACTCTTAAAGAGTAATGATTTCTCATCCTTAAGACATACAAAAAAATTTGACCAAGATCCTCAAAGAGATTGCCAAAATATTCTTGTCAATAGCAGGAATATCAAAGAAAATGTTGCTGATTTAGACACAAATTCCGACAACTTTAAAAATAAGTCAAATTTCAATTAGAATATGGACTTTAACAGGAGGATAGACAGCCATCAGTTATAATGAGGGAACTAAGGCCCAAAATGTTTCATTTTATATAGAAATTCCCAAAGGTTTAGTCTTGAGCCAAAAGAAAAAGAAAATGAAGACCAAACAGAGAAAAGGGCATGTATACAGTTGGCCCTCCATATCTGTGGATTCTGTATCCATGGATTCGACCAACTGCAAATTGAAAATATTCTCAAAAAATGGATGCTTGTGACTACTGAAATGTTGACCTTTTTTCTTGACATTGGTTCCCAACAATACAGTATAACAACTATTTACATAGCATTTACATTGTATGAGGTATTATTAATACAAGTACATTCATGTGTCATTAAGTTCTGAGAAATGCAGTATTAGGCGATTTTGTTGTGTAAACATATATTTACACAACCTAGACAGTATAGTCTACTACACATCTAGGCTACAAACCTGTACAGCATGCTACTGTGCTGAATCCTGTATGTAAGTAACACAACAATAAGTATTTGTGTATCTAAACACAGAAAACGTACAGTAAAATTAAGGTATTATAATTTTATGGGACCACTATCGTATATGTGGTCTCTTATTCACTGAAAAGTCATTATGTGACACATGACTGTAATCTAGAGAGGATTTAAAGTATAAGGATGTGTGTTAATTGCAAATACTATGCCAATTTATGTAAGAAACCTGAGCATCTGTTGGATTGAGGTATCCTTGGCGATGAGGTCTTGGAACCCACCCCCCGTGTATGCTGAGGGATGACTACCCCAGAGATCTTTTTAGAAATCTAAAAGAATTCTACAATCCTAGTTGATTGTAACCACAGTTTAACATAGCGATAGTTTGCTTTAATTTCCAAGTTAGCTTCCGTTTTACTTCATAGAATCAATGCCATTTTGGAGGCAAGCTGAATTTAGCCTTTGAAATAAGAAAATAAATGTACTGAAGAGTGCAGATCAGTTCTTTTATCAAAAAAAATCATTTGAAGATTAAAAACAAGACTTTGGAATAATATTGTAATTAGATTCCAGTCTCATAAAATAGACAACCAGTTAGAAATACTTACACAGAAATTGTTTCTTCTTTTCCAATGGTAATTCGTGAAATACTTCCCAAAAAATTTTTATCGTAGGATGTTCTGCCCAATATTCCCCTTTGTATTCTGTATTCTAAAAACAACATAATCTTGTATTAGTATTAAGGGATATTAGTTTTGTTTTGAATCTGGCAAACTGGCTACTGTATTAACACATAAAGCTAACATGGTCCAGGAGTTTGAAACTCATGCAATTCAATGAACTACTCACTACTTCCTGGACATTTACAATTTGAAGCTATTAGTTCCAGGAGAAAAAGAAGAAACATGTTAACAATCACCAGAAATCTCTCCCAGCACTTCAAAGAACAAGACAGGATCATACTATCATCTTCAAAAGTAAATAAAGAGAAACGTTACGGGACTATTAAAAGTTTGACATGGAATTATCTGTGATAATTAGAAAATTTTCACTTTCTGTATTCACGAACAGAAGTAAAACATTACACTCTATCCCTCCTTTTAAAAATACGGTACTAAGCAACACTAAAAATTTTCTGAGCTAGTGTCCAAGATGGCCACCTGCCTCCTGGTATTCATGCCCGTGTGTAGTAAGGATATTGTGAATATAAGGGATGTATGATTTCTGAGACTAAATCATAAAAAAACACTACGGTTTCAGCCCTTCTTCTGGATCACTCACTCTGGGGAGAACCAGTTGTCATTTCATGAGGATATTCAAACATCCCTATATGAAGAGAGGTACTCATGGTCCTATATTAAGGCCTCCTGCCAACAGTTATGTGACTAAGCCACCTTGGAAGTGAATCTCTATCCTTTACTAGGCGCGTTCAGATGACTAGAGCACCAGCCAGTATTCTGACTGCAACTTCATGAGAGAACCCCGAGCCCAAACTACTCAGCTAAGCCACTCCTGAATTCCTGACCTACAGAAACCATGAGAAAGCAAAGTTTTATTGTTATTTTCAAGCCAGTAAGTTTTGGGGTAATTTGCAGCAATAGGACTAAATATCTCCTCTTTCAAAAATATTAGTACTGGCTGGGGACGGTGGCTCACGCCTGTAATCTCAGCACTTTGGGAGGCCGAGGTGAGCGTATCACTTGAGGTCGGGAGTTTGAGACCAGCCTGGCCAATATAGGGAAACCCCGTTTCTATTAAAAATACAAAAATTAGCCAGGCATGGTGGCAGGCGCTGAAGCAGGAGAACCAGTTGAACCTGAGAGGCGGAGGTTGCAGTGAACCAAGACTGTGCCATTGCACTCCAGCCTGGTCAATAAGAGTGAAACTCCGTTGTCTCAAAAAAAAAAAAAAAAAAAAAAAAAAAAAAAAAAAATTAGTACTAGGAAAGAAGGGGAAAGGAAGCAGAAAGGAAACAGTTCATATTGTGAAGTGCTCTTATCCAGCCACAGTTGGCCTTAACTTTCCGTTCTTAAGATGCATCAGGCCCTCTGATTATACCGTTCCCTCAGCCTATACCACCTAGACACATCCTTTCTTCTTTGGTCATCAGGCTAATTTTTACTCACCCTTTTAGGGCTCAGATTAAAGGTCATCTAACTCATTGATTCATCCAACAAATATGTAATGTGTTTTAGTCAATGTTTTGGGCCCTGGGAAAACTTCAGTGAACATAATCCTCACTTACCTTGTGGAGCTTACCATCTAGTGAGAGCCTTTCCCAGATTCATTTAGCCTAGATTAGGTTCCTCCTTATGTACCATAAACTCTTTTTCATTGTATTCATCAAAACTATTAAGCATTTAATTTCTAGCTCCCTTATTAGGGCAAAGACCATGTCTCAATCTTATTTCCTGCTCTCTCCTTAATCTCTTGCATAGTTTCAGCTGCATATTATCAGGCACACAGTAGAGGCTCAATAAATACTTGCTCATGAATTTTGGACTCTCCTTATTTGTAGCCATGATTTATCTCAATCACTGAACTCTCAATAATTCAAATCTGCAAAATATTTGCTGTTAGGTGCAAACAAGTCTGAAGAAAATGGTTTGAATTCTAGCACTCAATTTATTAAACTGTTTGAATTAGTCTGTGAACATGCTAGTGGAGAATGCAAAGAGGATGGCTAAAGTTTTTCTTTCTTTTAAATCTCTAAATGGTTTGGTAGAAATGTGCACACATGTCCTGATTAAGAAAGAACATTTACAGCTCCAAATCATACACTAAAATTGTAATGAATCAGATATATAATAGAAGAAATCAAAGTATCAAGTATAAATACACTAAAATATACTTTTTAAGATGTCTTTTTTTTTTTTTTCCTTAAGAGATGGGGTTTCTCCATGTTGGCCAGGCTGGTCTCGAACTCCTGACCTCAGGTGATTCACCCACCTCGGCCTCCCAAAGTGCTGGGATTACAGGCGTGAGCCACCGTGCCCGGCCTAAGATGTCCTGTCTTAACTGAATGAACACTTCCATCAATTGTCACTTCAGGCAAGGTTTCAGGTACTTACTGAGCACTCTTCTAGGTGCTGGGAATACAGCAGTGAACAAAGAGGCAAAAATTCTCCCCTCATGGTGCTTACATTGTAGTGGTGGGGAAGGAGCAACCGTAAAGACAAATAAGTAAAATTATGTCAAATCCAAAGAAGCAGAATAAAACAGTGAGGGGAGACAGGATATGTAGCAGGAGAGAGGATTGCAATTTTATATCAGTTATCCAGTGAAGGTCTCTGAGAAGGTGCAAACACAGAAAGGAAGGGCAAGAATCTTTCTATCTTATCAGGGGAAGAGAATTACAGGCACATGGAAAAGGAAACAGAACCGCCCTAAGACTGGAGTGTGCCTGGAGGGATCTAGGCTCACCAAAGAGGTTAATAAGGCTGAGGCAGAGTGAGAGGAACAATGACAGAAGATGAGGCGAGGAAGGACAAATTGTGTAGGATCTAAAGAGTAATGAGAAGCCGTTATGTCATTTTCGTTTTAAGGTGATTAGCGGTGGAATCCATTTCCACTGGGGGACGCCTTAGAGTTAGTATCTACAGGCTTCTTCTCTTGAGCAGATCAATTTACCCCCACACAGGACCCTTCAATCTCCTTCCTGAAGGATTTACACCTGGCTACCAGCTGCAAGGCATCTTGTTTTACCTAGTTTCCCAAATTGTAAAGCCAAGCTATCTTTTGCTGGGTAGGAGAGGAGATGTGAATGGTCCAATTATTCTTTAAAATTGCTGTAAAGTAATTCTATTGTCCTTAGTCCAACCCTCATCCCTGCCATTAACGGTAATATGGTATACCAATTCTTGAGTCTTGCAGATTCTAGGGCATAAAATGAGTTGCCTCCTGACAATCCTGTCCCTCTGGAGGCTTAGAATTCAATTTTTCTCTGCACTAAGTCACTCATCAATTTATCTCCTTATTTTCTGTCTTCTAAAACTATTTCTTCTCTTGTTCATTAAATTTTCATTTTTCAGTGTGTGTATTCCTATTTTTATTCCATCACTGTCATTCTAGTGAGATTTTGGGAGGGAGCAGCTATGTTTATTCCATAATGTTTAATTAGAAGTCCTAATTATCTCACGCCTGTAATCCCAGCACTTTGGGAGGCCGCGGCGGGTGGATCACGAGGTCAAGAGATCGAGACCATCCTGGTCAACATGGTGAAACCCCGTCTCTACTAAAAATACAAAAAATTAGCTGGGCATGGTGGCGCGTGCCTGTAATCCCAGCTACTCAGGAGGCTGAGGCAGGAGAATTGCCTGAACCCAGGAGGCGGAGGTTGCGGTGAGCCGAGATCGCGCCATTGCACTCCAGCCTGGGTAACAAGGGCGAAACTCCGTCTCAAAAAAAAAAAAAAAAAAAAAAAAAAAAGAAGTCCTAATTATTATTAAAATCTTATTCCTTAAATGAGTAAACAGTAATACTGGCCATTTTCTGATGTGTATATAGTTCTGTAAGTTCTAACAAGATGTGCAGATCTATGTAATCGCTGCCACAATTAGGGTACTGAACAGTCCCATTACTGTTATGCTCTGAGATGTCTCTTGTGCTGCCTCCTCTGAAGTCACACCTTCCCGCTCAACCCCTAGCTCCTATTCACTATAATTGTCTTTTAAGAATGTCACATAAATGGAACCATACAGTATGCAATAATTTGAAACTGGCTTTCTTTACTCAGCATAAAGCCTCAGAATCATCCAGTTGTTGCATGTATCAATAGTGCCTTTTTTTTCTTTTTTGAGGTAGGGTCTTGCTTTGATGCCTACATCGGAGTGCGATCGAGGCCCACTGCAGCCTCCACCTCCTGGGCCCATGGGATCCTCCCACCTCAGCCTATCGAGTAGCTGGGACTAGGGGTGCACATAACCATGACCTGCTAATTTTTGTATTTTTTGTAGATACGGGGTTTCATCATGTTGCCCATACTGCTCTTGAACTCCTGGGCTCAAGCGATTTGCCAACCTTAGCCTCCCGAAGTGCCAGGATTACAGGTGTTGTGCATTTCTTTTTAACACTTAGTAGTTATTCTGCTGAATAGGTATACTGTAGTCGGTTTACCCATTCACCCACAGAAGGACATCTAGGTTGTTTCCAGTTTTTTTACTCATTTGCAAATTTAAAAAAGTATTTAAAAATTAGGGTAAAACACACATACCATACAGTTTACTTATTAATCATTTTAAGTGTACACTTCAGTAGCATTAATCACATTCACATCGTTGTACCACCATCCATCTCCAGAATTCTTTTCATCTTGTAAAACTAAAACTCTGTTCCCTTTGTTTATACTTTTGTGTGAATATAATTTAATACCTGGGAGTAGGACTGCTAGGTCATATAGTAAATGTATGTTTAACTTTATAAGAAACCGCTACTGTTTCCAAGTGATTATCCCATTTTGTGTCCCCACCAGCAACATATAAACGTTCCTGATGCTTTGCACCTATGAAGATGACTAACATAAAAAATAAAGTGGTAAGTGCTGTTTTTTTTTTATGTTAGTCATCTTAATAGGTGCACACTAGCTAACTAATTATAAATGCACAAATTACAGGATGCTATGTTATAAAGATGGAAAATCAACAGGTCAACTCTGCGTGTATCTTCTTCAAAGCTGATCTAACTAACCTTGCACTTTCTGTCACCCAGGCTGGAGTGCAGTGGCATAATCTCGGCTAACTGCAAACTCTGCCTCCCGGGTTCAAGTGATTCTCAAGCCTCATCCTCCCAAGTTGCTGGGATTACAGGTGTGCGCCACGACACCTGGCTAATTTTTGTATTTTCAGTAGAGACAAGGTTTCACCGTGTTGGCCAGGCTGGTCTCGAATTCCTGGCCTCAAGTGATCCACCATACCTGGCTTAACCTAACACTTTTTATTAAATGTTTATTGGAAGACATATTTGATAATTACTCTGCTAAAAAATGTGACACTGAGACTAAACAGAAAAAAGGAAACAAAGATTTTTAAACATCATAACTGCTTTTCATAATGGTTTTTCCTAGGACTGAGGCAGAATGAAAACCCATTCAATTTTGGCTACGGCTTCTATCTAGCTGTGTCATAGATGACATTTTTCTTTTGAGACAGGGTCCTGCTCTGCCATCCAGGTGGAATGCAGTGGTATAATCATGGCTCACTGCAGCCTCAATCACCTGGACTCAAGTGATGCTCCCATCCCAGCCTTCCAAGAGTAGAGTAGCTAGGAGCATAGGTATTTGCCACCACATCTGGCCAATTTTAAAAATTATTTTTATTTATTTATTTTTTTGAGACAGAGTCTTGCTCTGTCGCCCAGGCTGGAGTGCAGTGGCACAATCAATCTCAGCTCACTCCAACCTCTACCTCCCAGATTCAAGCAATTCTCCTGCCTCAGCCTCCTGAGTAGCTGGGATTGTAGGCACATGTCACCACGCCCAGCTAATTTTTGTATTTTTAGTAGAGACAGGGTTTCACCAAGTTGGCCAGGCTGGTCTTGAACTCCTGATCTCAGGTGATCCGCCCACCTTGGCCTCCCAAAGTGCTGGGATTACAGGCATGAGCCACTGCGCCTGGCCTAAATTATTTTTAGAGATGAGGTCTCACTATGTTGCCCAGGCTGCTGTTGAACTCCTGCCCTCAAGTGATCCTCTTGCCTAAGCATCCCAAAGTGCTGGAATTACAGGCAGGAGCCATTGTGCCTGGCCAGATGAGTTTTCTGTATCAATACCACCAATTACAATAGTGCCTAATTCATACACAGTTCAAATCCATTCATTGTGGGGTACGATTCATTGTGGGGTACGAAGGGGTAGAGTGCTTCCCTATAAAATGAGTGTAATAAAGTATATAAAATAAAAAATAATACATAAAAAGGCAAGATTTCCATATATAAGCGACATTCTTCTTTTGCCTTTCCATTGAAGCAGTATCAGAGATTAGTTTTCCCCTACCTTTTCTAATTCCTTCCAATCATAGTTTGTATTTCCAATGACCATTGCCTGTAGTTCATTAGGCTGAAAGAGCAGCAGAACTTTTCCTCCACAGACCTTATGAAAGCCCGCATGAAAAGCATCAAATAAGGAAGCCACTGATTTATTGAATATGTAATCCACATAAGCATCAACAAACTCTTGCCTAGAAATGAAAAAGCACAAATGTACAGATTATGAAAATCATTTATGAAGAATACATTATGTAGTCTTATTAAAACTTCAGGCCAGGCGCGGTGGCTCACGCCTGTAATCCCAGCACTTTGGGAGGCCGAGGTGGGCGGATTATGATGTCAAGAGATCGAGACCATCCTGGTCAACATGGTGAAACCCTGTCTCTACTAAAAATACAAAAATTAGCTGGGCATGGTGGCTCACGCCTGTAGTCCCAGCTACTCAGGAGGCTGAAGCAGGAGAACTGCTTGAACCCAGGAGGTGGAGGTTGTGGCGAGCTGAGATTGCGCCATTGCACTCCAGCCTGGGTAACAAGAGTGAAACTCCGTCTAAAAAAAAAAAAAAAACTTCACGTGCTCTTGCAATTTCTGCTACATATCTACAAAACTGAGAATGTATGATGTATAAGTGGGGTTCAAACAGGATAAAATTAAAGTCATTATGGAAAAAGCTGTTATTCTTTCTATATGAAAATCAGCTATATCCATGAGGCATTCAGTTATTTTTAGGATATTCCTTTTTTTTTTTCAGACGGAGTCTCACTCTGTCACCCAGACTAGAGTGCAGTGGCATGATCTCGGCTCACTGCAACCTCTGCACCCTGGGTTCAAGAGATTCTCTTGCCTCAGCCTCCTGAGTAGCTGAGATTACAGGTGCCTGCCACTGTGCCCAGTTAATTTTTTTATTTTTAGTAGAGACAGGGTTTCAACATATTGGTCAGGCTGGTCTTCAACTCCTGACCTCATGATCCACCTGCTTCAGCCTCCCAAAGTTCTGGGATTACAGGTGTGAGCCACTGTGTCCAGCCTTAGGCTATTCTTAATGGAAAAAATGTCATTTTCTAATGGGGAGAATGATGCAAATGGCTATCAAAATAATTTTGGGATTCAGACCATTTTACAAACTATAGCCTTCTTTTCCTTCAGTTCCAAGGATTCTGAACAACATTTATTTTAATAAATACCTAAGAGAGGGTACTAGGCATTCTTTTAGGATAATCATTAAAGAGTACAAGTGTAGTTTCTTTTCAAATGTATGTGTGACTCACATACATAATCACTTCTGATTCTCTTATGATATGAAAGGAAACTCTAAAGAAAAAAAGGAAGCCACTTTAACCCCTGAATTTGAACAACTGTTTTATTCAATTTGTTTTGTTTTGCTAGCCACAAATTTTTTATGATGCTATCTGGTCAAATAAATAATGAGAATAGGTACTAGAAGACTTCACTATTTCATATCTTTGTTCTCCAAGTAATAAATGATGATTTGCAATAGAAACAATGGTAAATTGCCTTTAAAAACCAAATTTTTTAAAAAAAGAATATTTAGAAGGTCCTAAAATTTTTTCACATTACAAAAACAGCTTTATCAAAGTAAGACATATCAATAGTTTAAAATACCAAATAATAACAATCCTAATAGCCAACATTTACTTGAGCACTACATGTGCTAGGTCTATTCTAAGTACCTTAAAATATTGTCTCATCTAATCCTCAATGCCATGAAGGTACAATTTGTCATTCCATTTAAGAGAGAAGGACACCTAGGCACTGAGACATCAACTAATTTACTTAACGTTATAAAGCTTCTAAGTAGTGGAATCGGATTCAATCCTTTGGACCAAGTCCCTGGCAACAGTCACTACTAAAGAACTGTAACAAAATGGAAGGGAGCAAAGCAACTCTGTCCTGCACTTCTCCACCAGAAATTCCTGCTATTCAAAGGCAACTCTTTGTTAACTCTTTTTGCTATTCCAATTGATATTTATATTCAAGCTTTTAACAACACAGTTCTATAGTTACTCCTTAAATTTCAATTTGGTTTGGATTTATCTTTTAATGGAGTCTCGCTCTTGTTGCCCACGCTGGAGTGTAATGGTGTGATTTTGGCTCACTGCAACCTCGGCCTCCTCTACTGGGTTCAAGTGATTCTTCTGCCTCAGCCTCCTGAGTAGCTGGGATTATAGGCATGCGCCTGGCTAATTTTGTATTTTTAGTAGAGACGTGCTTTCTCCATGTTGGTCAGGCTGGTTTCAAACTCCTGGCCACAGTTGATCTACCATGCCAGGCCAGATTTACCTTTAATGTAATTATCCCATTCACTTTCCACTACCCTGCACATCTATTACATTCATATAATAATTTTTGGTTCAATATTTGTTAACATTTCTATACTGTCCACAGTTACACTGTATTCTATGATTACTTTTCTCTTAAAAAGAACTTCTGGCCGGGCCCCGTGGCTCACGCCTGTAATCCCAACATTTTGGGAGGTCGAGGTGGGCGGATCACAAGGTCAGGAGCTCGAGACCAGCCTGGCCAACATGGTGAAACCCCATCTCTACTAAAAATACAAAAATTAGCTGGGCGTGGTAATGGGCACCTGTAGTCCCAGCTACTCGGGAGGCTGAGGCAGGAGAATCCCTTGAACCCAGGAGGCAGAGGTTGTAGTGGGCAGAGATCGCACCACTGTACTCCAGCCTGGGTGACAGAGGGAGACTCTGCCTCAAAACAACAACAAAAACTTCTGTTTTCCTTAGTTTGCTACTTCATCCCCAACTTCTCCAGAAGAAATATCCATTTCCTCTAGATTCATTCAAAATATTAGGTGCTTTCAGTTGCATTTCTCTCCTCGAGCCCTCCATACTCTTGGTGTAATCCAGATAGTTAGCTCTCTAAATCTACACAGCTATTGATCCTTCAGAAAGAATCTTTGCTTGTTTGAATCCTGGTGGTGTTTTGTTGCTTTTATAATCCTGTGTCTTCCTCTTTCTTCGTTTAATTCCTTTAGTAGATAGAACACATCCTCCAGTAACTTCCTGAGAAAAAGGCATCAGAAGTAAATTCTCTGAGACTGTGCATGTATGAAAATGTTTTTAAACACTCACACACTTGATAATTTGGATACAGAATTTTAAGTTAAAAGTAATTTTCTTCCAGAATTTTGTTCTGCTAGCTTCCAGTGTTCTTTACAAGTCTGATGTTATTGATTCTTAGGTCTGTGGGTTTTTTGGACCATTTTAGGGTTTTATCTTTGAAAATTTTGAAAATTTCATGTATCTTCTCTTGGTATTGATCTTTTTTCCACTTCGCATCCTTTCAAGCTTGAAAGGATGTCATTCATTTCTGGAAAGTTGTTTTTTTTAAAAAATATTTTATTGACAAATTTCATTCATTCCATTTTTTCAAATGAAATTATTTTTCTATTTTTAATTGTATGTCATGCATCATTCTAAGGATATTGATTTCAGTCTCCTCCAACGTTTTGTCCTTCAACCTGCATGGTTCCTGGCTTCTTGCCATTCTTTTTGACTGTTCTGGTCTTTTCTTTAATGTCTATTGATCTTTGACTATTGAGTTACATTTTAAATGTTAGGCAGTTTCCCCATAAGTGGATCTTCCACTATACAGTGCCAAGGAGGAGGGAGTTATAGATTTTCAGAACCTAATCTCCCTGTTTTCAGTTCAGCTCCCTGCCTCTGGCAGTGTCCACGTGTCCTCAAATCCACAGTCCCTTTAGTTCAATTTCTCCAGAAGGTAAATTTCCAATCTCCTGCCCAGTCCGGAGAGAGGTAGCTACCAGGCTCCTGGTGTGCTAAGGGAAGCTAGCACTTTCATTGTTGTTTTAAATCCAAGGTTAGCATGGGAAACTAGTTTCTAACTGCTTCTTGTAAGAGTCAACCTTTGTTTCTAGCACTTCCCCAAACACCATGCACTTTCTAAAGGTATGTTTTATTCTCAGCACTTAAACTTTTGTTCTGCGAAGTGATCCAACTGGCTTCTTGGCTCCTCTTTTCCATCTCATGTTGCAGCTTTCTCTGGTTTGCTAAAGTTAATTTTGACTATTTTCGGGCTTCCAAAAATGTTTGCTGCTGTCACTTCTCCCTTATCTTTGTTTTAATGTCTTCAAGGGATTTCAGAAGGAAAAGGCAGATTATTTCCTCATTAACCACTCAAAATTAAAGTTTTATTGAAGTAAAAACTTAGGGTTGTGACACGTTTTCTACATACAGAAGAAAATGTCTACTGAATCTTATTATTCCCACGGTTGCTGCTATAATTCACTTACCGATTTTGTTTGTTAACAGCTGTGTCTGCACCATTTACAACCAGCTCTTTCACTTCTGTTGCACCAAAGTTTTCAACTGTGATCTATTAATTTAAATTTTTAAAAAAAGTCAATGTCAGACTCAAAACTTAGAGTATTTTAATAATCTATTATTATATTCTACCTTTCTCTCATTTAATAAAAAGACTAATAAATTTGAGATAAAATTCTGCTACCATAGCTTATTTGAGAATTCTGCTTAAAGCCATAACTAGAAATTCTGATCCTCTCTAGTTTGAAATCCTACCATGATTAACTACAAATTACCAAGTGTTTGGTAAGTTACTAAGGAAACTAAGCATTTCTTATGCATAAAACTTAGAATGGTTACTGTAAGAATAAAATATTAGAAAGGATGTTTTCCTTAGATGAGTGATAAAATCCAAGCATCGGAATGCATTCAGCTTAGAAAACCATGCATTCTTCCCACATGACAACTGCTACTCTAGGGTTCCTCTATCAGCCTTGTAAATTTAATCACAGGCAGGTTTCTAGTCATGTACTAATTTGATTTATAAAGATAGTCAGGTATTTTGAAATTAGGTATTTCTTTTACCTCTGGAATTTTTCTACAAATATTACCACTCCCACTTTTGCAACTTTTCTTCTGCTATTTCTTCTTTGTGGAATATTACCCTCTTTTACGAAAATCTGCTATTTATAAAATACTATGATGGGAGTGGGATGTTAGATGAATATTTCTGCTCTGAAATTTACTATCTAGTAAAAAAAGAGAAATGTAATATATAAAGAACTAATTATAATAAAATGATCCATTTATAAGAGAGATATGAATGAAATGTTATCAGATCATAGAGGAATGAAAATGGAATTCTAACCAGAGGAAGTGTGAAAGACCTTGAGGAAGAAATGCCATTTGAAAAGCACCTACAAGTACAGGCAGTATTTTGAAAGATTAAGAAGAGAGCCGGGCGCGGTGGCTCACGCCTGTAATCCCAGCACTTTGGGAGGCTGAGGCGGGTGGATCACGAGGTCAAGAGATCGAGACCATCCTGGTCAACATGGTGAAACCCCCGTCTCTACTAAAAACACAAAAAAATTAGCTGGTCATGGTGGCGCATGCCTGTAATCCCAGCTACTCAGGAGGCTGAGGCAGGAGAACTGCCTGAACCCAAGAGGCAGAGGTTGCGGTGAGCCGAGATCGCGCCATTGCACTCCAGCCTAGGTAACAAGAGCAAAACTCCACCTCAAAAAAAAAAAAAAAAAAAAAAGAAGAGAGTGAGATTTCAGACAGAGAATATCGATTGAACAAAAAATCAGATATTACAGTAAGTGCCAAGTTTCTGAAAATGTATGGCAAGTGGCTCTGCAAAAGAGGAAGGTAAGGTATATTCAAACAAACAAACACACAAAAAACAAAACACTGTGTGGTCCAGGCACAATGGCTTATCCCAGCAATTTGGGAGGCTGAGGCGGGTGGACCACGAAGTCAGGAGTTCGAGACCAGCCTGACCAACATTGTGAAATGCTGTCTCTACTAAAAATACAAAAATTAGCCAGGCGTGGTAGCGCATGACTGTAATCCCAGCTACTTGGGAGGCTGAGGCAGGAGAATCACTTCAACCCAGGAGGTAAAAGTTGCATTGAGCCAAGGTTGCGCCACTACACTCCAGCCTGGGCAATAAGAGCAAAACTCTGTCTCAAAAATAATAATAATAAAATAAAAACCTAACATGGGTATAAGTGAATCAAATGAAAAAGAGAACCCAAATGTCATATAAAATAGTTTTGTTTTGTTTTTTAAAAATTTTATGGTCCCTTATTCTAACAGGAACATATTTTGGAAAATGCTTTTCTGTTATCTGGATTCGTGAAGAGCAACTTTTTTTTTTTTTTTGAGATGGAGTCTCACTCTGTCACCCAGGCTGCATGCAGTGCAGTGGTGTGATGTTGGCTCACTGAAACCTCTGCCTCCTGGGTTTAAGCAGGAGGCCTTAAACCTCTCCTGCCTCAGCCTCCTGAGTAGCTGGGATTACAGGCGTGCACCACCACACCTGCCTAATTTTTGTATTTTTAGTAGAGATGAGGTTTCACCATTGTTGGCCAGGCTGGTCTCGGAACTCCTGACCTCAAGTGATCTGCCCACCTTGGCCTCCCAAAGTGCTGGGATTACAGGCATGAGCCACTGAGCCCGGCCAGAAAATGGTTTTAAAAATTCATTTTTCTTGAAAAAAACTATGAACATGTAATTTTTTTCTTTTTGGCAAATCTTATGGCAGCAAAATATGGCATCTTTTGACAGCTTTGCCAACAAAACCATAAAGAAAACTGTTGTGTGTGTGGCGAGTGGCAAACAAATATACAAATAAAAAAATTTTAAAAAGAAAAAGAGGCTAAGCACGGTGGCTCACACCTGTAATACCAGCACTTTGAAAGGCAGGCAGATCACCAGGTCAAGAGATTGAGATCATCCGGGCCAACATGGCGAAACCCTGTCTCTACTAAAAATAATTAGCTGGGCGTGGTGGTGTGCACCTGCAATCCCAACTACTTGCGGGGGCTGAGGCAAGAGAATCACTTGAACCTGGGAAGCAGAGGTTACAGTGACCTGAGATCCCGCCACTGCACTCCAGCCTGGTGACAGAGCCAGAGCCAGACTCCGTCTAAAAAAAAAAAAAAAGAAAAAGAAAAGAAAAGGAAAGGAAACTGAAGGTTTTACAATTTCCCCAGAGTCTAATTTATAATATTCAAATTGTTCCCTTCTGGAGGGACTTATCATAACTTTTATGGATTTTCTCATATCTAATTGCCAACTAGTCTACTCCTGCCATATCCTCATTTATTAACGGCTTTGCATGTGACTGGATCAGTTATTTAACATCCTTTTCGTTGCCTTAGTGAAACTGTGCATCTTTTACAAGATTAGCCATTTCATTTTCCAAATGATATTGCAATGTATTTGCATTTATTTTATCTATGTTATCCAACAGTGAGTAAGACAAGATGGGCAAGGATGAATGTTGTGTGAAATACAACGGAATGTACCAGTGGAAATTTATGTTTTTAAGTTTAATAGTAATATTCTCATAATAACCTTTTGCTTCTCTAAAGCATTTCTGTAACTCCAGACTCAAAAATGAACACATGGATAAAGAGGATGTCTTGTATTTGTAAATATCTTTAGCATAATAATAAATCACATAGGTTTAAGTAACAGAGGTTGGTATGTATACTGACTTCCAAAGTAATGACTTTTTTCAGTTTTCTTCATCTGTAAAACATGGATAATCCTAACCTCATTGGATTGTTGAGGATTAAATGAAATGCATGTACTATGACTAGCTAGCACATAGTAAATGCTCAATAAATGTTAGCTAAAGGGTTCTTTAATAATTCCATCCATCAAAATAAAGAAAAACTGTAAGACACAGCTCTTAAATAAAAGGGATGATGAATAATCAGGCTAATTTGTCTTTCCATCTTACCGTAAAATTAAGACAAAATGTTTCCTCTATGTCATCTTCTGGATAATCCAGTAATTGTTGCATGCTTCTGCAAAATAATATATATGTTTCTTAGAGCAAAATCATTATTGGGTATTTTGACTATTTTACTTATGAATATGTATATACTTCTCAGTCGCTTAAAATCCTTTTTGTCAATCTGTAATTTTATATTTTTTTCAAAATAGTGAATAAACAATGGCAAACTTATAAATGATGCTGAAGGAAAAAAATTAGACAAAGGTTCTTATCACGTTTCTGAATACAAAAGGCCATGTATCCACTTATTTTAACATTTTTCCTTATTTTATTTTCCCAAGATGGAGTCTTGCTCTGTTGCCCAGGCTGGAATGCAGTGGCATGATCTCAGCTCACTGCAACCTCCACCCCCTGGCTTTTTAAGCAATTCTTCTGCCGCAGCCTCCAGAGCAGCTGGGATTACAGGCGTGTGCCACCACACCCAGCTAATTTTTGTATTTTTAGTAGAGATGGGGTTTCACCATGTTGGCCAGGCTCGTCTTGAACTCCTGACCTCGTGATCCGCCTGCTTTGGCCTCCCAAAGTGCTGGGATTATAGGCGTGAGCCACCATACCTAGCCCATTTGTCCTTATTTATATGCAATTTTTAATCCATTTTATTTAATAAATAAAAATAAATTTCACATATTCAAACTAGGAATGAAGGTTATCAGAAGTAAAAGTCCAAATAAATCATTTAATCACTCTCAGAAAAAATTGCTTTCCTAAGGTGATTACCTGTTATTTGCAAAGTATTACCAAATAAATTAAAAAAAATTTTTTTTTTTGAGACAGATCTTGCTCTGTCACCCAGGCTGGAGTGATACGGTGCAATCTCGGCTCATTGAAACCTCCACCTCCTGGGTTCATGTGATTCTCTTGCCTCAGCCTCCTGAGTAGCTGGGACTACAGGCATGGGCCACCACGCCTGGCTAATTTTTTGTAGTTTTAGTATAGATGGGGTTTCGCCATGTTGGTCACGCTGGTATCAAACTCCTGACCTTAAGTGCTAGGATTATATGTGTGAGCCAAGGCACCAGCCAAATTTAGTCTTTCAATAGAAAATTTTGACCTGAGTAACATAATCGATTTTCCTTTATTAGAGGGGCATTTGTTTAGTTTATTTCGGAGATTTAAGAAGAACAACAAAAAATATTCATTCGTAGAAGGAAAGCTTTCTGTACATTCCCCACTTCTTATCTCCCACACCCTACTACCTTTTGACAGTTTTGTTTTGTTTTTTTACAACTAACCTCCCAACATCAGGCATTAGTTCTTTTAAATCATCCAAGGATGGCTTCTTTTTCAGTAGTTTCTTATATAAAGCCAAAGGAAAATGGAGGTCCACAATAGTAAAATTGTAAATAGCTAAGCCACAGATAACACCAATCAAATGGAACAAATCACTGTCTTCAAATGTCTAAAAATATAAGAAAAAGTACAGACATGTCCTCCAAGTTAAAATATTAAATTTTCTGCTTACATAAATATGCTCATAGTACACAATTTTGAAGATAGAGAAAAAAGTAATAAATAAAAAAATTAATATCTTGCTGAGATCACACTATACATATGACTTTACAACTGTTTTTTCCAAGACACACAAGCATATTCATGTCACTCAACATTAAGTTAATGGGTGCAATAATTACTCTAACCTTTTTTCTGATTTAAATATACACATTTGAAATTTGGAAAACAAAGAAAAAACATAAGAAAGAAAATGATAAACATCTGTAAACCAATCACTCAGGAATAATGATCAAAAATTTTATGTGTATTTTCACCTACAATAAGCTCAGAAAAATAATTTTAATATGCTGTATTTAAGATTTTATCTCATTTTCTAATTACAATGAGTATCATGTCATTAAATGTTCTTCTAAAACATGACTTTTTGTTTTTGTTTTTGTTTTTTTGAGACAGGGTCTCCCTCTGTTGCTCAGGCTGGAGTGCAGTGGCGTGGTCTCCGCTCACTGCGATGTATGCCTCCTGGGTTCAAGTGATTCTCCCGCCTCAGCCTCCTGAGTAAGTGAGATTACAGGCGTGCGCCACCACAGCCCGGCTAATTTTTGTATTTTTAGTAGAGATGGGGTTTCACCATATTGGTCAGGCTGATCTTGAACTCCTGACCTCAGGTGATCCCACCTCCCAGAGCGCTGGGATTACAGGCATGAACCACCACGTCCGCCCAAAACATGACTTTTTAATGGCTGCATATTGTATCATGAAAGTACAATGAGTTGCTAAATTTAGCTGTTTTACTCTAGTTGGATGTTTAGATTACTGAAACATACTTACACAACTGACACACTGAAAATGTTTATTTTTTCCTTCATCTTTTTAACAGTAATATGTATTTACAGAAAACTGTGAGCATGATGGCTAAAGAATAAACGTTATAAATTAGACCTGGACTTCAGCCTGGTTTGGCAGTCTAGCTCTGTGTTTTCAAAGAAGATAAATATAGTATTTATCTCATATGATTGTTATGAGGATTACATGGGATAATATATGTTAAACACTTTTAGCACAGTTCTTGAAGCACACATGAAAAGTTCAATAAACGTCAGTTATACTACCTAGCTAGTAATATTAAAAATAAGATGGGCAACTTTTGCATATCTTGGTCCACAGTTTGAAATATTTCCCTAGGAGAAATTCTACTTCCTAAGGAAAAATTCGTAAGTCAAAAGATAGTCAAGCATATTGCCAATCTGTTTTCCTCTACCCGTTCCAGTTTGAACTGCTATTTGCAGTACAGGAAAATGCCCCACTCTTCATGTTTTCATCTGTATATATACTCTACACATACACAAACTCATTTTTGTTTTGAGTTTAAAATGACAACTTGCTTTAGTACACATTTCTATTTGTGATACTGAAAAGCAGAAATATGTGGGTGCTCATGAAATATCTCCTCAGGTACTTGGTCCACTTATCTTTTGGGAGATAGTGTTTTTCTTTTGTATTTGAATTCTTCATATATAAGGAGTATTACTCTGCACCATATTTGTTACATACAACCCGGCCTGTTACATGCTTTTCAATTTTATGTCTTCTGCTATGCATAAATATAACAGTTTTCAGTGGTCAAATTAATCTTTCTCTGCTGTTATGTCTTAATTCTGTTTAAGTTTAAAAAGTTCTTAAATCGAGCAGACTGATTAATGTGTTAATTCTCTCTCCCCCTTAAAACCCTCTAAAAGAGAATAAAGGAAGAAAAATGGTATAAGTCCACAGGAAAAAAAGAGAGTAAGAGATGTTAATAACATTTCAAAATACGAAAAGTGGACAAATGGCTGGTAACTGAACTGGCGAAGTAGAAAACATTGAAATAGTAACTTACAGCTACTATGTGCCACAGGCTCAGGAATTTGAAGTACCAATGACTGCAACTGCAACATCAGAGGTAGCCAGTTAGCTCAGCTGGTAAACATAAAGACTCTAAAAGGCGGAGGTATAAGAGTGGGGTTGAAACTAGGATACTCGGTTTTTTTGGCGAGCCTGAACCAGAGGCTCTGGAATCTGAGGCAGCTGATAGTCAGGGTGCTACACTGAAAACAAAGGGATCAAATGAAGGTCTGTATAGTTAGTGAACAAGGAGAATCCTAGCTTCCTTTTCCAGAGTCCAAACCACTACTAAAACAGACATCCAGGATTACAACCTTTCTTGAAAATCTGAAGGACAAAATAAAAAATATATGCTGACATTTGAGGATTCTCCTTTGAAAGATACCTACCTAATTACTCTATGGATGGGGCCTGTAGAGTGGGAACAACTCTGCCCTGTGGCTTGGGTGCCAGCAAGGCCACAGTAGAACAGAGCACCAAGTAGATTCCTAAGGTTTCTGACTTCAAGGCCTGGCTCTCAGACAGCATTTCTGGACCCAACTGGGACTGAGTGGAACTCTGTGCACTGAAGGAAACACTTAACTGCAAGTGCAAAGTTAAACAACAGAACTCATAGATTGTTCATTAAAAAAAAAAAAATGCAAGAGTAAGTCCCTATCAATATAAATGGACTAAACATGCCAATCAAAAGACACAGACTAGGTAAATGGATTAAAAACAAAAAAAAACAAGACCCAATGATCTGCTGCCTACAAAAAACACACTTTGCCTATAAGGATACCTATATTGAAAATAACCCATGCAAATGTTCAAGAAAAGAAAAGATACATATGAAAGAAAATTCAAGATAAAAACTATAAAAGACAAAGAAGGTCATTATATAATGATAAAGGGGTCAATTCAGCAAGAAGATATAACAATTACAAATATAAATAGGCATCTAACACTGGAGTGCCCAGATATATGAAGCAAATATTATCAGAGCTAAAGAGACAGAGAGACCCCAATACAATAATAGCTGGAGACTTCAACACTCCACTTTCAGATCATTCAAACAAAATCAGTGAAGAAACATTGATCTTAATCTGCACTATAGACCAAATGGACCTCATAGATATTTAGAGAACATTTCATCTAGCAGCTGAAGACATTGTTCTCTGCAGTACATGAATCATTGTCAAGGATGGACCATATGTTAGACCACAAAACAAGTCTTGCTTTAGGTCCAAAGACAGAAATAGGTTCAAAGTTAAGGTTTGGAAAATAGTTATTCCATGTAAATTGTAACAAAAGAGAGCTAGAGAAACTATACTAATAACAGAGAAAATAGTAAGATGCAAAACTGATATGAGACAAAGACAAATATTGATAACAGGGTCAATTCATCAAGAAGATATAACAATTACAAATAATTATGAACCTAACACAGCTCCAAAATATATAAGGCAAAAACTGACAGAATCAAAGGGAGGCATGCATGAGCCACGGCACCCAGCCAAATACACCTTCTTTTTAAGTGTACATGGAACATCTTCTAGGATAGACCATATATTAGGTCACAAAACTTCTGACCTAATTTTAAATTTTAAAAAGACTAAAATCATAAAAAGTTATCCTTTCATATCATAATGAAACAAAACTAGAAGTAACAAAAGGAAATCTGAAAAATTCACAAATATATGGAAATTAAACAATACACTCTTAAACAACCAAAGGATCAAAGAAGAAATCACAAGGGAAATTAGAAAATACTTAGAGGCTAATGAAAACACAGCATACTACAACTTATAGGATGTGAAAATAGCAGTGTTCAGAGGGAAACTTAACAGTTGTAAACACTTAAACTAAAAAAATAAAAATAAAAAAAAAGAGAGAATAATCTCAAGTCAATAACCTAAGTTTATAGCCTAAGGAACTAAGAACAAACTATACCCAAAGCTAGCAGATGAAAAAAACTAAATACTGAAGCACTGATACATGAATTAGAGAATAGAAAAATAATACACAATCCAGAATCTACAAAGAACTCCAGCAAAGTAGCAAGAAAAAAAAATCCTATCAAAAAGTAGGCTAATGACATGAATAGACAATTCTCAAAAGGAGATATACAAATGGCAAAAAAAAAAAAAAAAAAGAAAAAGAAAAGGCCAGGCACAGTGGCTCATACTTGTAATCCCAGCACTTTGGGAGGCTGAGGTGGGTCGATCATGAGAGCTTGAGACCAGCCTGGCTAATACGGTGAAACCCTGTCTCTACTAAAAATACAGAAAATTAGCTGGGCATAGTGGTAGGCGCCTGTAGTCCCAGCTGCTCAGGAGGCTGAGGCAGGAGAATGGCTTGAACTCAGGAGGCAGAAGTTGCAGTGAGCCGAGATCGTGCCACTGCACTCCAGCCTGGGTGACAGAGCAAGACTCCACAACAAAAAAAAAAAAAAAAAAAAACAACATCACTAATGATCAGGGAAATTCAAACCAAAACCACAATGCAATACCACCTTATTCCTGCAGGAATGGCCGTAATAAAATAAAATTTAAAAAAAAAAGATGTTGGTGTGGATGTGGTAAAAAGGGAACACTTCTACACTGTTGGTGGGAATGTAATCTAGTACAGCTACTATGGAAAACATTGTGGAGATTCCTTAAAGAACAAAAAGTAGGCCAGGCGTGGTGGCTCACGCCTGTAATCACAGCACTTTGGGAGGCTGAGGTAGTGAATCGCCTGAGGTGAGGAGTTCAAGACCAGCATGGCCAACGTGACGATACACTCTTTACTAAAAATACAAAAATAAGCCAGGCATGGTAGGGCACGCCTATAGTTCCAGCCACTTGGGAGGCTGAGGCACAAGACTGGCTTCAACATGGGAGGCAGAGGTTACAGTGAGCCAAGACTATGCCAGTGAATTCCAGCCTGGGTGACAGAGCAAGACGACTCCATTTCGTACCCCCCTCCAAAAATAAATAAAAATTTTAAAAAGAACTAAAAGTAGATTTACCATTTGATCCAGCAATCCCACTACTGGGTATTTTACTCAGAGGAAAAGAAGTTTTTTTTACAAAAAAGATAATT